GTCACGGTCTAATGATTACAGTGAGCGGCCTAGAGCAGGCGCAGCAGTTGCCGAGAAGGTGTGTGTGTTATCTGTACTGTACCAGAAGAGGGCGGTGTTACAGTATTGTTTTTGTTGGAATTCATTGGCGGTGCTTGATAAAAAGCATAAAAAATTGACGGTTTTACTGTTTGGATTACGACTGAAATAAAGTTTTTTTTTCTACTGCTGTTTCTACTGAGGGGACATTTGATATAGAATTTTTTAAAGTTTTGTTGAATGCTTTTCAAAGAGGTTAAACTGTTTTCCTAAAATGATTGAAAACCCAAATAAAAAAGTCATCCCTGCACATTATGTATGTCTACATAATGAAAAAAATTGTTTGGCCTTTTATTGCTCTATAACAGGAGTCCTATCTGCATCTTTTCTTGTCTTGTTTGAAAAAAATAAAATGTTATATTAACACCAAAATTGGCACCAGTTAATCGGACAAGGTCTGTATAACCAATACTCAGGCTGGCTAGTTAAAGCAGGTTTAAATTGCTGGATGGCTTTAAAGTTTCCTTCTCATTTTGACTCCTGCTTTTGACAATAGATTGCTGTAGCGGAAGAAATATTTACAGAAATCTCATGCATCTATTATTTTTTCATGCAAGAAATATTAAGCATTTCACTAAGGAACAGCAGTTGTTGTTAAACACTGCTTCCAGAAAAGTGCTGCCTTGGAATTGTACCTTTCGATCTCTGAGATTATTTGTTTCGGTTTCCATTACACTACAGTTTCTGTGTAGCTTTTGCTCTTTTTTGGGGGGAATATCTTGCATTTTCAGCTCCTGGTAGATACTTATCTCTGCTGATTACAAATGATCCTGTTAACAAAAGTAAGTTTTACTGGATGTTCAAATATAATTAGCAGCTATGATTTAATAAGGAATAAAAATGGAGGATATAAATGTATTGCTATGAGATGTTAATGGTTTCTTGCAATGCAATAGTTGCAATATGCAATGCAAACAATATGCAATGACATATAAATAACTGATGATGAGATTAAACGTGTTCTATTGGAGTCATACTGTGGTAGGCACTCCCAGCTGACACAGATTAAAGTACCTATGATGCTAAAATTCAGAGAGAGCGTTAGAGCAACAGCAAATACAGAGGTTAGAAAGACAGTATTACGGTAATACAACTGACATTGTCTTTAGAATGTTGCCTACCTGTTTCAACTCTACCAATCTAGGCTCATTGAACCAGATTTTTTTGTCCCTGTCTATTGTCAATTTGGAGGAGCCTGTGGAGTCGAATGACAATAACCAGACCAGTAGCCCTCCCTGGGAAACTTTTGTTGCAAAGCCAAAAACCGAAGAATCCAACCCAGATTTTAAAAGATGCCTGACAAGCTGACAGCCACATCTAGATCATAAAAACTTGTCCAGACTTCAATGTATGTCTCCTACTCCAAATAACAATAGTTGCAAAAAGCTGTTTATTCTAAAACAAAGGGTAAGAAAGGTCCCACTGAAATTACTGAGAATACTTGGATTCCGCTAAATAACAGGTTGGCTGCCCAACTTGTTGCTGACCCTGAGGAGGACAGCCAGTTTCCAGACAATAGACAAAGGTATGAGGAAATTCAGCCCTCTAAAACAGCCTCGTAATAAAAAATAATCCAAGAACATTAATAGTAAATGATACTGTTACTAAGACTAAACTCTTCCGCAATAAGAACAACACAGACACAGTTAAAGGACATTTCCTTCTCTCTAAACAAAGTACATGATGCAAATGAAAATCTGATAGAGTGTCTCCCTGATGATAAACTAAATGTCACTCTGCTAAGGCATTGGAACCAGTGTTAATTTCCTCAGCTTTTTTAAATTTAGTCTTAGTCACAATGACAAAAATCTGTTTAAGTCTTAGTCAAATTTTTGTTATTTTAGTCATTTTTTAGTCAACGCTGTAAAAAATAGAACTTCACCACACATGCTTCTCTATTTTTCTATTTTATTTATATAACACTGCAGAACAGAACTTTTCCACACACTGATTCTCTTTTTTTAAATATATCACAATGTACAGAATAAAACTTCACACAACGATTCTCTTTTAAGCATTCATCTGACTGTTCACATTGAACCTTCTGTCGATTGTTTCATTCTCAGTGATCTTGCAGGCAGGCCAGAACGCCCAATAGTCTTTGCCATTGAGTTCTCCAGGGCTTTCTGCTCATTGGCGTGAGGTTTGTAAGGTGGGGGTGCTCCCAACATCTCTGCGACAGAACTACTATACCAAATCAATTTCAACACCAGGATGAAGATACAGGTGATACTACTACTAGGGCCTGTTAAATAGCTTTTAAGTACTGACAGACCCACCCGTTCCTTACCTTCTTCCATATGGCAGCATGTTGGCACC